TGGACACAGAGTGACACAATAGCGCTCGCAAAATTCTCTCTCGCCTCTGAAAATATACAGTTCAGCCATTCATTCTTTAAAAATAATTTAAAAAAAGGTGTTACTTTAATACTAAGAACCGTATATAAGCACATAGTTCCGTGACAAAAGGAGACCGTACTCCCACCCCAATTTTTGGTGGTACCACATCTCGCGTACGTGTCACGTTAACTCAGCCCCAAGACTCCCAAAGATTACTCCCAGTCTTTTGTCATCCACCCCCACTCACCTCAACCCCCAACTTCCTTTCCGGAAAGAAATAACAATCACTTTCTCGTTAATGATACTGTTTTCAGTTCAGCTTCATGTTATAATTTTACCATATCCATTTTAAGTACTCTGAGAAAGATTCTGACTGTACTCTCCTCAGGTATTACATGCCATCGACTCCTAGCGACGATAAAGATGACCGATCCTCCATCTTCACAAACTTTTGATGAACCAGCAAAGTACGGTGACACACCTGGTAAGAGCAGCGGCACAGCTGGGTGCTGCGAGCGAAACAGTGGGAATTGGCTTTAAATTGAGAGTTAAAACAAGAAGCACCTACTGGCTTAGAACTCCATACCTTAAAAAAACCAATGAGATCCATCTGTATGCAGATTGATAAATGTGTCAGATCATTCAGCTCATACACATGGGAAACCGCTAAGCCATACAGACCGTGAGGCACAGCCTCCACATATAAATAAAGGGGAACTGATAGCCATGCCATGCGGTATATTCATGGGTCTCCAGCAGACATGCCTGGGCAGAAGTGAGTAGACATGCGTGACCACTGAGGGGAAGGGGGGGGGTCATCCCCCTTTGCTTTTGTAAACACGGGAGTTATCTTATCATGGAAGGCTGCGCACAAGGTTGGCCAAATCTACAGTCTACTGTCCAACGACTTCCAACTGTAGCTGAGAGAAACTCCCGTTCAGCTACTGACACCAGTACAGACATACGACTGCTTTTTAAATTAATACCGTTTCCTGCTGGATTTCACAGACGACATCCAACTGCCTGTAGAGGCCCAATTAAATTAATAGAAAGTGAATATAGAATCAGTTGGCACAAACACACATAAACCAAAACCATAATAAACGTTACAAACCTCTGTTGCTTACCTACAAGGCACATTTTACTCGAAAGTGTCAGTTTAGGGACATTAAAAAAAAATATTGACAAGTGAAATTACTCCAAACAGTGGGCAAAACTGACACTGTTCATTCTGCTACATAAACATTCAAAATAAACATATGCCACTTTAAAAACTACAGGCTCTTTCTATACATATGCAGGAGTGTATATATACACATGTACATACTACACTTTCTGAGTCATGCTATTAATAAGCATCTACCATTACACCTGGTGCTTCCAACCACTAAACACTGTACTATGCACCTTATTATTTTACTATTTTATTTTACCATTTACTACTTAAGTAAGAGATATTTTACTTTAGTGTGCAAGCTTTGAGAAGGCACTGAGTCCAATTTCATTACAGGTAATGATGTCCCATTGTTATCTGTATATGACAAACTTGAGGTTACCAGTTACATGATGAGCAGCAAAAACAGTTGTGAGACACAAAGTTTGTATACATTACAAGTATTTTGAATGGATCTACACCAAGGTCTCCCAAACGCTATCACACACAACTGGCTGTTTTTCCCTTCTTAAGATGTAGTTTAAGGCTTTGGACCATGCTCCACTGTAAAGCAGAAATGCTACCCTACATTCCCTAGCAATTTATACGTTCAGGGGTGCCTAGACTAACATTTAGCATAGTTTAGCCAACAGGGTGCAATTTAGGTAAATTATATGTTCTGTACATTGTAGTAGTAAATCAAAGTGAAGTATATGACAATTATCCACATTTTTTGCTGTTTAGTTTAATAAGTCACCAGGTAGTGACCAGACAGTCAACATATTACCAAACAGGACCCACTAGTACTGTCTGAATAGTTATCACAGGATTTCCTCTGAATATACTTAATCCCGCCAAAGTCATCTAAACTGCTTGTAGATTCTAAGATTTATGTTTTTCGTTGCACTTATTTGTCAGTGTTGCAAAGCTTTTACCTCCAGGGTTTGAAAGCGGTTATGCCAGAAACAATAAGGGTTCCTGAATGCTGGAAACTAAAATGGACCTTACAAAAAAGCTAGACAGATTCATTGAATCCATCATAATTGCTGGCGACTCATTTGTCAAAGTGGAGACAGTGCATCTTATCTCGCGGAAATGACAGCAGCAGAGCGAGACGCCTACTCCCGTGGCTCGCCGGCAAGAATACTCCAGTGACACATTCAGGGTCTAGATCGCAGTCTTAAGCTGCAGCTGAGGAGCTGCTCATGGCGGCTTCTAGGGCTGAATGATTTATCGATTTCAAACCGAAATCGCAATTTCAAACATCGTGATTAGCAAATCGCAAAGGCTGCAAATTAGGATATGCATTACACAGCACGTCTGGCCCAAGGTTTAAAACTGTTGTGAGAATAGTTTTACAAATTCATCCTCCTTGAACTACCACCAATCAGAAGTGCTGTGCTCCTCGCGTGCCAGTCATGCTCACCAATCAGAAGTGACCCAAGGCAACTGCAGACACGCCCATAAAAAACAAACACGTGAAACCCAAGGGAAACATTACATTCGCAGTGTGAAAAAAATGATTCTGCTGCTGAGCTATAAGCTATAAATTACCTACCTGTTTCATGGTCAGAGATTGTTTACAGAAAGGGCATATTATTTATGGATTGATTAATATGACAGAATTCCATGGTTGTGTAAAATAGGTTTGCAGGACTGACAACTTTGGTCAGCTGGCTGGCATGACATTTTCAATTTGAGACAAGTCTGTGCCCACATTTACATGTATGCGACAGTTTCATTACCTTGTAAATAGTCTGTCGGGTTTGCAACACTTTTGATGTAGCTAATTTTAAGTTATTAAAGGAATAATACTGATTTGCCGTAAGATTTCTTGCGTAAGCATGAGAGTCTTAAAGCATGAGTGTCACGCCAGATGTGTGAGAGTAGACAACCCTGGATTTCCGTACTTGTAATTTAGTTTTGAAAACCCATGCAGTTAAGTGTGTGTTTACAAAAAAAAAGGTCTGCACACTTTTGTTTTCAAAATCACAGATTTGCAACTTTACATTTATAAGCCGCGTTACAACTACGAATCGGCATTACAAGTGACCACCCTTGTATTTAGATTTCTTCCTGTCCTGAAGTTTTGTGAATGGAGCAGCATTTTGATAGTCAAGCAAATCCAGCCAATAATACCCAAAAGAAAATTCAAAAATCACGATTAGATATTTTCCCTAAAAGGTTCAGCCCTAGCGGCTGCTAATATAAAAAGCACTCTGTTCTCCTGGGGCAGATGGGAGCCTAGCGGTCGTCCCAGCATGTGGTCCAGCTACATCCTCCTGCCCTGCCAGTCCTTTGCAGAGGATGAAAGAGAAGCTTTGCATTGGGCAACGTCATTCAACACCTGTCATCAAGGTTGCTCTCTCTCTTTATGAGAAACCTGGCCTCATTCATCCCAATGGCAGGAAAGCAGCAGGCGTCACCGATGCTACTGCTGTGTTTAGAATTCAGTCGGAGATCTACCAGCTTGCACTGGTCCTTACACATCTGATTGACCAGACTAGCTACAGAGCCGGCTGGCAGATAGAACCATACATTTCCCGGGCTGATGAAGCCAGCAAGGCACGAGAAATAGGCAACTCACTATTGCCAAAGATTCAGTACACATCCCACACCGATCTACATGTGCCACTTGCTGTTGAACCTTTGGCCTACACAATATTGTGGTACAACTGATATATTCCCAGAATAAAAGCAGCTTAACTAGAAAGGAGTCTTGTGTGTATGACTGTCGGACTTTCAGAAACATCAGGCAAATCTCATGGGGTTGGATTCCCTAAATGAGACATAGGAAGAAAGCTATCCACCACAAACATGTCATTTCTATCACCAGTGGCCTACTCATCACACAGGAGGGGGTGCTCTGGCCCAGTCCAGGAAATAAGGGGAGCAATTGTGAGATTGCCCATGTCAACCCCTTAAGAGCTCACGGCTACGTGAATCTGAGTCATGCTATTAGTAAGCATCCACCATTACAGGTAAGGTGTGTGAACAAAGGTATGACCCTTTGAGAAGGTATTTAAGCAGCTGCATACTAGTCCTTCATCCATCGTAAAAAAAAAGTACGATGGATTCATACTCAAAAACAGCATACATTTACTTAATGTTACATCCACATCGTCTAGTTTTATTCTCCCTATACCTACTGAGCACAAATAAACTGAGGAATTTAAAAGGTTTTTTTTTCCCCTAATCATCAGTGGCTCTCTTGGGTTTATAGCTGCATTTATAGCATCCTTATTAGGGCGATCTGTGTACATTTCACATTCCTATACAAAAGCGATTGGCTGCAGGGTTATGCTGTAGGTATCAGGTAGAACCCGGAGAGATGCATGATGTATGACGGCGTGCCCTTGCAGCAAAACGCACTGAATTTATTATACCCCCACCCCCCACACACCTATACCAAAAGAGCAATTACTAGGATTAAGTTTAGTGAATATAGAAGGTGAACATTAATTTTGCTGCTACACATAACGGTATAATCACCATAAAAAAAGAAATATACCAACCCCATACTAAAAAGTAAAAACCATTACAAATTAATACGCAAATAATTATATTTTTTAATACGCAGCTATTAATTAATACGCAGCTATTCATTTCGTCAAAGTATTATGTCAGTGACATTAACGTTACCGTTATAATAATTCTGACTGAAAACACAGACTGTTCACCTTTGCCGAGCAGCTCATACGAATCGCAAAACAGCCCGTACTGTTAATTATTCGCATTAACGCCTTTGTGAAGGAAACGGGGCTCCGGACGAAGCGCTTTTTGTACGGCTTCCTCCCGTGTAATTTCATAAATGTCCGATACTCACCAGCGGCCGGAGGCGGCGGCGGCGGCGCGGCGCAGAGCCCCAGCAGCAGCAGCCACACTCGCCCGGTAACTGCCATTACGGCGTCTTCTCTCCGGCTCCTCCGCTCAGAAACTTTTCCTTTTCTCGCCCTTTTCCCCCCAGCCGTTGGTCTCCCTCATCGGCTGAGTGTGTCCGAATAAACGACGGGGGAAGAAAGATGATTCATACCGCTTCGCTTAGAAAGAGCCAGTTTCATTTATTTTGCTGAGGTTGCCGTTTAGACCGGCGTCCGTTTTCAATTTAAACGGCTCTTTGCGGCTCTTCAGCTTGTAATGTCGACGTTTTGATATTTTTCCTTCAGTAGCAACACTCTAACAACGAAAAAAAGCAATTGTCAAAGCGTTATGAAATGCAATAATGTAAAGGTTGCTGATACTCTCCGTCCGCCCAGACTAATAACTTACAGTACAATTCGCTGTATTCCGATAGAATGTAACGTTTTTTTTTCTTGTGGCTTTCGAGTAAACTAGCGTAGCTCTTATTTTAGTATATAAATAGCAAATACACAAGCTGGCTGGCTGAATGTTTGAATTTAGCGTTGAGAAGTCTTTCCGCGGAAAAGCTTGACGGAATGAATACGAAAGCATAGATTTGACACCAATCCAAAGGGCCTTTAATTATGTTTTGGGGGGAAAAACTCCAGCGATCTTCCAACAACCAACGAAAGCTCATTAATCCGTCATGGAAATGTCTTGATCCTTAAGGTGGATATGCGTTTATTCGTTTGAAATCCTAGTTTCTTTAAGAAATTATTTCTTGAGCAAGGTAGTGACTGCGATCATCAGCAGAAGCATTCCCCTCCTTTCACACTCCCATATTACCACCAAAAACTACTGTAGACTTTTCTTTCCCAGTGTTTCCTATATCATCGATGTTCTTGAAAGATTACGGAGTCCCATCGCTGTATGATGCAAAAGAGACATTAACGCCGGTTTTTTTTAAAAATCACAAAGCAAGAGGACGCGGCATTTACGAAAGTGCCAGCTTGGCTGCAAGACGGACAGGAATCACAGGCTATGTATAGAAATGTTAGCCAGTGCTGCTAACTTGCGCCTCAAAAACTGGGCAAATCATTTGGCCTAATGGTTACTCTTTCAGTCTTCATCGCAGCCAGAATGTATCAAATGATCCGGTTAGGTTTGTCAGGAGGTTCAAAAAAAGACGGGAGAACGTGGAAATCATTGTTATCCTGCGCCGTTACTCTTCAGAAAAGCTGGCGATAGTCGTAACACAGCTTCCCGGGGAGATCGCCTCCGAGCGTTTGGCCAGGAGCTCGTCTTTAGGTTTCGGCTGTGAAAATTGATGGGAGGGGGAGCCTAGTGTCAATTCACTCCTCTTTTCTAACGCCGATGGCTGCTACAGAGCGCCCCCTAACCGAAGACCCGCGCCAGCGCGGTCTGACGGGTATGTTTCTCCCCTACACTGAACACTTTTAAGTTTACTGAGCACGTTTGGATTTTTATAACAGTCTAACAATTAAGAGTGTTTCCATTCACGATTTCGCACATCAACGGTGTATCGGTTCTGTATCTCATTACACCTATTTTTGGGAAATCCCGATTTAAGGGGAAAATAAGTTTTTAATCCTTGTATTCCAGTCTGAATATAGATAGTGATATCTGCTTAGATTTGAACTCAGAAGCCGGTATAGTTTTGATTTTGGTAACTTCTTTCCGAACTTTAGTTTCTTTTTTTATGCACGCGGGTTAACTTGCAACTTTTTATTCCTCTTGCGTGAGTGCAAACATTTCTGTGAAATAAGAAGTATGGCTTTAAAAAACAATATAGTTTGAAGAATTTCGCAACTAAAAAGAAATGTGAGACACTTTCGATGGCCTACGGTATTCCCTCTATCCTACATAACTGGTGTACGTGTTATGCACCATAGACTGCTTATGTAGGTCAAATGCAATAAGGGGAAAAGTGATCCATGTTTGAGCACTTGACTCTGAATTGATTTTAGACGAATACTTGATTTCATACAAGTGTTTTCCTTACCTGCAAAATTCTGTTGGCAGTATTTGCATTATTTGCATAAATCATCCACGAACTGTTCATTTTTGCAATCAACGTTAAAGTCCAGCGGAGGCGTCACGAGCTGGGGTCATTCAGGGCTGAAGCCCCGAATGAATCCGAACAAGCACCGAATAATTTGTTTAGCTCAGATGTTTTTAGCAACCACGCTCTCTGTCTGAGCACAGAGGCTAAGCCCCGGATGTCTTAAGATCCTAGCAACGGTCCTGCAAGCTAGAATCTGTCTCCGACTACTGCAAAGCGGGACTCTGTCTGTCATTGAACCATTTTTAAATACCATCACAGTGAAAAATAAATTTGCTTTCCATTTCAGCACACACCTTTAGAATAACAAAACTCTACAACTGTGCTTACGAAATTCTAACTATAGTACTATCTTGTCCAACTGGCTATAGAGGATTAACTACTTAATTCACTGCCTGCCCCAAAGCCGCAATAGTTGACTTTAAAAAACAAAAGCACGACACTTTACAGAATATAAGTTGCTTTCTGAATCTGTAACATGGCCTGTTTTACAAATCTTCTTATACTTATTATAAATTGCTTGTCAAAAACTTGCAGATTTATAAAAACTCAAATATAAGTACATGTATTAAATTAGCTTTGTTTTAGTCTGTAAGATGGTTTACATTTGTTTTTAATTATATTACAAAGGACTCCGTATCCATGTTTTCAGAGCATAAATGTACACATTTAGAGTACAATACACATTTAAATTTAATGCAGCTAATGTCTCATAGTAAGTGTCATTTATAATTTTTAACTATAACTCAGTAATTCATTATGCAGTTAGGTGAAGCTGAGAGATAATCGCAGCTCCTCCTCTCTCAGACTCCTGTCCAATCGCTGCGTTTCAGCCTCCAGCACAGATGGGAAGGGCCTCTCGGAGACCATGGCCAAAGAGTCACTTAGGTCCTGTCTGAGAGACACCAGCCAATTGTTGTTCCGAGAGGCATGTTCGATAAACTCTGCTCTTTCTCTGTGATCCACTGCTAAGGTCAACCTGAGGAAGTGCACCTGGAGTTCAGAAAAAAGATGAAGTAAAAAATTATTCAGTTATCAAATTCAGCACCTCAAGACTCATCTGTTCCATGAAATCCCCTAATGGCCTGATACCTCTTTACATCCCTGAATGTACTTATGTTGTACTTCTGGTCTTTGAATAGTCTTTTTAGGTTCTTGCTTTGTCAGTAGTTATTGTGTAGCTTCTGCTCCAATGCTACTTTTATCTGGGAATTCAGAGGAAGCTCATTAGCTGCTCACTAGTTGCACTAGTTGACTCCTTGATAGCATGTACATTTGCACATTGCTTTGGACAAATGTAAATGAACAGTTTGTACACATAAAAGCAGTGGCTTACCTGTTCCTCCAGCTCTTTCACACGAGCTCTCAGGTGCTCTGTCTTCTCTTCTTCTTGCAAGAGACCAGCCTTCCTCTATAGGATACAGAGAAATAAAAACTTACAGCTCTTAGTTTTCATAGAAATTCAGCATTCAGGTGAATCTGAAGTGGCTTTTCAGTTAACCTGCGTAGTGGAGTTCTCCCCTGCAACGCTGCCTGACTGCGACAACTGACGACGCAATTTCACTCTCTCCTCTTCCACCTAAAATAAATGGTGAAAAGATGCAAATGGTGCAGACTACTCATCAGTTACCATACAGGGGTCAAATAAAGGAAGGAAAGGTTGGCACCTGCGTCAGAGTCTCCCTCAGCTGCCCCCTCTGGGCTCTCAGTCTCTCAATGCGCTGCTCTAGTTGCACATTTCTTGTCCGAAGCTGCTTCTGCTCAAACTCCAGCTGTGCCACAGCTTGCTGCATGGCTAATAAGCGTTCCCGCAACTCAGCGCCACCTGCTGTATCATCGCTGCTATGTCTCTCTAGCCATTGTCCCTGTCCACAACATGGTAACACAGGTTTCATCCACACATCCATGACAAAAAAAGGCATCTACAGATTACAGAAAGCAAGAACATTCCCCACATTCTTTAAATAGTTACATAAACAATGCAAATGAACTATAAAACATGAATGCACCTCCTAGAAAAGACACTTAAGGTGCAAATACCTGAACCACCCCATGTTTTAGTGTACAGGTTTGACTGACCTCGGTGTGTGTTGCTCTTGAGATGACTTCCTGCCTGCCTCTCGGCTTCCTCTCCAGCTGCTTGGCTTTGTCACGATACTGCACCAGTGCTGCCTCGGTCTCTTCCAGTGCTGCTCGTATCCGCTGCCTGTCCTCCTTAAGTTCTTCTACCCTCGCTTTCAGAGCATACACCTCAGATCCCCTTTCTTTTAAAAGCCTGATACCTTCCTCTTTTTCCTGGAGGAATGTGGACACTCGTTCCTGTAACTTTTTCAGGTGACTTTCCCTAGGGCTACTACCCTCGTCTGCTGAGCCCATCTGTGACCCCCCCTGTCTCCCTCCCACTCCAGAAAGCAGCCGTTCCATCTCTGCCTCTAACACCTCAGCCCTCTTTTTCCACATTTCAGCTATACCCTCCCTCTCTCCCAGCTTCTCTAACAGTTGTTCCTTCTCTCTCTCCATCTGTTGCAGAGCTTCTTCTAGAACCTTGTGTTTTTCTTCCTTCTGAATCGTTTCATTTCTGCTCTTCTCTTCTCTCTGTTTCTTTAACTTATGCTGCCCCTTCTCCAGCTCTCTCTGATTGCTTCGCTCCCCTTCCTTCTCCTCTTTCTGCAGCTCTTTCATTTTTTCCCTGAGCTCATTTATATACTTGCTCCTCTCCTCCAGTAACCCTACAAGCCTCTGTACTTCTTTTTCTCTGTCTCTCAGTATATTTGTCACTAACTCAGCCTGCTTCTCCCTTTCCTCTGCAGCTCTTTTAAGTCTTTCCCGTCTTTTCTCCTCCTCCTGAACTTGCTCTTTCATGCCCTCCATCTGTTGCTCCTTCTCACTCAGCTTTGCCATTAGCAGTTTAATGTGCCTCTCTTTCTCCCCCTCAAAATTCCCCTCTTCCCAGTTCGTCAGAACATTAATCTGTTGCTTCCACACTTGAGCCTCTTCAGTTCGTTCCTTTCTCACCTCCGCCAGCTCCTTCTCCAGTTTTTTCACCCTCTCACTAAGTGCTAAGGCCTCTTTGCTTTTCTCAGCTGCTAAAGTGCTGAACTTGTTCCTCTCTCCCTCTAAAACATCAAGCTTTGCTCTTGTCCTGGTCACCTCTGCTTCCTTCTCTCCCAATGTAGCTCTCAGCTCATCCTCAACCTTCAGTCGCTGTGTTTCCATCTTCTCCCTCTCTTGGACCCCATCCTTCCCTAACTGTAACCCCCTTTCAAGTTTTATCTCAAGCTCCTGCTTCTCTTGTTCGAGCAACCCAATCCTGTTATATAACTCTTCCAATTCTACTCGTAGCACTCGGACCCTTTCATCTCTGCTTTTCACCAATTCCTCTTTCTTTTCCTGGAGAAGGATTCTCAGTCTCTCTCCTTCATGGTTACTTTGCTCTAGCAGTTCTTTCAGCGTAGCCATCTCTTGCACCCCAACTTTCAACCCTTCCCGCATCTTCTGGTTCTCCAACTCTCGCTCTTTGACCTCCATTCTAGACTGATCCTGTGTTCTTTTTAGTGTGACTAATTCTTGTTTCAGTGTGGTCAGCTGAGTTGCCATTGCATTGCCTTTTTTCTGAGACTCCCTCAACTGTTTCTCAGCCCGTGTGAGAGAAGACTCTGCCATCTCCTTTCCTCTCCTCGTTCTCTCTGCTTCATCCCTCAGGGCCTCTGATTCTCGCTCCTTGCGCCGTAGCTCAGCAGCGAGATGATCTCTCTCATCTTCCAGCTCCTTTACTTGATGGCCCAACTTCTCCACCAAGCTCCCTCTCTCTTCTAACAAAACATGCTGTCCCTTCTGCAGTTCTTCCACCTCCTCCTTAAGCCTTTCCAGTTCAGCTTTCCGTTCTTCCAGCTGCAATGTCAGGTGTTTCTGCTCTCTCTCCTTCTTATTCAGAGCCTTTTCTAGTTCTTCTCTCACCTCCTTAACCTCCCCCTTTCTCTCTTTCACCAGCCTTCTCCATCTTTCCACCTCCTCTTGGAGCTTCTCCTGCTTTTCATTGGCTGCCTGCCTATCTGTCTCTCTCTGTTCCTCTGCTACGTTTAGGTCCTGGATCTTGTTAAGAAGCTCTTGCTCCTTCTCTCTCCACAGATTCCTCTCTCTTTTCAGGATGGATTCTGTCTCCCTCAGTTGACCGGTGAGTTTCTGTTCTAACAGTTCCATCTCCTGCAGTTGCAATTTCAGCCTTGTTAGCTCCTCCTCCTTCAGCTGAAACTTCAGTAGCTCCTCTCTCTTTTCCTGGAGATCAGCTCTCAGTTGCTGACCTTCATGGTTAAGCTCCTCCAGCTGCTCTTTCAGCATACTCAGCTCCTGCTTTACTGCATGAATTTCCTCCCTCATCTTCAGCTTTTCTTGCTCTCTCTCACTGATCTCTGCTCTGGCTTGGTCTTGGGCCCTTGTGAGCTCAAACACCTCTTCTTTCAGTGCTGCTTGCTGGATCTGAATTGTCTCCCCATTTTCTCTTGCCTCCTTCAATTCCTGTTCAACATATTTCAAGGAAAATCCTACCTTCTCCTTTTCTCTCCTCACTCTCTCTGCTTCATCCCTCAGGGCCTCTGATTCTCGCTCCTTCCTCCGTAGCTCAGCAGCAAGATGTTCTCTCTCATCTTCCAGCTCCTTTACTTGATGGCCCAACTTCTCCACCAAGCTCCCTCTCTCNCCGTAGCTCAGCAGCAAGATGTTCTCTCTCATCTTCCAGCTCCTTTACTTGATGGCCCAACTTCTCCACCAAGCTCCCTCTCTCTTCTAACAAAACATGCTGTCCCGTCTGCAGTTCTTCCACCTCCTCCTTTAGTCTTTCCAGTTCAGCTTTCCGTTCTTCCAGCTGCAATGCCAGGTGTTTCTGCTCTCTCTCCTTCTGATTCAGAGCCTTTTCAAGTCCTTCTCTCACCTCCTCAACCTCCCCCTCTCTCTCTTTCACCAGCTTTCTCCATCTTTCCACCTCCTCTTGGAGCTTCTCCTGCTTTTCATTGGCCGCTTGTCTATCTGTCTCCCGCTGTTCCTCTGCTACGTTTAGGTCCTGGATCATGTTAAGAAGCTCTTGCTCCTTCTCTCTCCACAGATTCCTCTCTCTTTTCAGGATGGATTCTGTTTCCTTCAGTTGACCGGTGAGTTTCTGTTCTAACAGTTCAATCTCCTGCAGTCGTGCTTTCAGCCTTGCTACCTCCTCGTCCTTCAGCTGAAACTTCAGTAGCTCCTCTCTCTTTTCCTGGAGATCAGCTCTCAGTTGCTGACCTTCATGGTTACGCTCCTCCAGTTGTTCTTTCAGTATAGTCAGCTCCTGCTTTACTGCATCAATTTCCTCCATCATCTTCAGCTTTTCTCTCTCTCTCTCACTGATCTCTGCTCTGGCTTGGTCTTGGGCCCTTGTGAGCTCAAACACCTCTTCTTTCAGTGCTGTCTGTTGCACCCCAATTGTCTCCCCCTTTTTTCTTGCCTCCTTCAATTCCTGTTCAACATATTTCAAGGAAAATCCTACCTTCTCCTTTTCTCTCCTCACTCTCTCCACTTCATCCTTCAGAGACCTCACCTCTTGCTCCTTCCACCTCAGCTCTGCAGCAAGATGATCTCTGTCCTCATCCAATTCCTTCACCTGATGCCCCAGTTTTTCCATCTGGCTTTCTCTCTCTTCTAACCAGACATGTCGTTCTCTTTGAAGCTCTTCAACTTTGATTCTGAACTTCTCTGCTTCAGTATGTTGCTGTGCCAGCTGGAACACCAGCTTCTCCTGCTCGCTATCCTTCTGATTTAGGATCTTTTTTAGCTGTTCCTTCTCTTCTATAGCATCTTTCACTTTCCCCTCTCTCTCTGTTACTAAATATCTCAATTTTTCTACCTCCTTCTCCAGCTTCCCTCGTTTTTCATTGGATTCCTGTGCCAGCTCCCTTTCTCTCTCCTGCTCTTCCCTTGCTATGTTCAGGTCCTGGATTTTATCAAGAAGTTCTTCCTGCTTCTCTCTACGCAGACTCCTCTCTCTCTCCAGAGTAGATTCTGTTTCCCTGAGTTCTTGTCCCAACATTTCCAGCTCTTGCAATCTCTCTCTAAGTTTCTTTGTCTCCTCCTCTTCTAAGAGGAGTTTAGCATTAGTCTCTTCCTCTGTTTCTCGTAGAGTTGTTACCTCCTCCTCTCTTTCTTTCAGGAGTTTTATATGAATGTTCAGGTTCTCTTGCAGTCCATCATGCTTTTTCCTGGTCCTCTCCATCTCCATCTCAAGATCTTGGATCCTTCCTACCAGTTGACACACCTCTACCTCCTTCTGTCCTAGTTCTCGTTTCAGTCTCACCTCTCCATCTTTCAGTTCTACCTCCCTTCGCTTCCACTCCTCTTCTTCTCCGAGCTTTAATTTCTGCCTTTCCTTCAGCTGTGAGTTGAGTTCCACTAAGACAGTCACCTGGGCCTGCAATATCTCTTGTTTCTGCAGTTCAGCTACGAGCTTTTGCTTTTCTTCTTTCATTGCTCCCACTGTGCTCTTTAGCCTCCCTATTTCCTCATCCCTCTTTTTTACATCCATTTCCTTCTCTTTCAGTATTTCTGCTGTTCTCTCTTGGTCTCTTTCCTTTTCCCTTAATTCTTCAATCTCCTTTTCTTTTACTCTTAGTTTCAATGCATTCCTCTGTCTCTGCTCCTCCTCTGCTCTCCCCCTCCACATGTCTGCCTCATCACTGGCTTCCCTGGCCTTGTGCTCAGCTGCCCTCTGCTCTACCCCATGCCGAGTCAGAATTCTCTCCATCTCTGCATCCCTTTCCTGCAGCTGTCCTGACATCTCCTCCAATTGTCTTGTTATTCCCTCCATTTTGTGTCTCAGAGCCTCTAACTCTCCATCTCGCTGTCCCAGCTCTGAACTCAGGTTTTCCCTCTCCCTCTGCCACACGTCCTTCTCTTCCACCCATTCCTCCTCTAGTGTCCTCTGCTGTTTGACAGACTGCTCGACCTCTGCTTTCAGCCTCTCCAGCTCTGCCTGCCTGCTCTCCATCTCTCTGTGAGTCTGCTCTCTCTCTACTTGCTGGCTCTCCCTCTCCTCAGCTCTTTGGGCCACCTCCTCCTCCAGTTCCTCACGCAAACACTGGATCTCTCCTGTAGCCCAGGGATACAAAAACAGGGAAAGATCACAGGAGTGCCATCAGGATGTTAGAAATGCAAACTCTGAAAAAAAACCAAGAACAAAAAACAGCTTCTTTCCCCAGCAGTGGCCCCCCTAAACTGCCAGTATGCACCTGCTAATACAAAGGTACATAATTACTACTGTTGCAATCTAGCACTGCCCATGTCCTACACCTATATTAACTAATTTATTATAATCTCGTTTATAAACGCTCTATGAAATGTTTTTTGGCCAATAAACCTCATTCCAATTCTGAAACATGAATTCAAGTTCATCATGAGCTGCTGATGTTTATTTGCTACTGCTTCCATTGCGTTCATATTTATGTCTTTTATTGATTCTGATGTGTAAGTATGTTCACTGTCCTCACCCCCATCCGACACGTCCCTGTGTAAAACTTTGAAGGAACAGTTGATCAGATAAACACCAATTCATACTCACATGAACACAGCACCTGGAAAGTGTGATCTATGCTAAGATTAGGACTGAATTTATAAATATGGCTATACACTACATAACTACTTTTTAAAAAATTACATATATGCAGTGACTTCCCATTCAGAATAGTGATACTGTTCCTTCTCTTCTCGCTAAATCCCTGTGCCTGCTTCACCTTGCAGCACATCCTTGGTCTGCAGAAGCATCTGAACCTGCACCTCCAGCTGGCCCTTGTGCACCTCAAGGCCGGAAACATGCTCCTGGGTTTGGGCTAAGTGCTGCTGTAGGGAGGCCGTCAGGGACCTGGAGATGCAGTGAAAACACACACAGACACACATACAGATTAGATATCTAGTAACCAAACAAAATACAAAGACTTTTACCTATTTTAGTTTTTTGACTGCATTCACAGATTTTTATAAAATTGAAGTTCATATTTTGGTGACCTGAAAAATCTCCCCACAAACTAAAAAGTAAAAGGTTTTTACGACATTGTAGGGACAGCTGGTCCCACAATGTGTTAAATACAAAGCCAGCCAGCCACCCACCCTCCTAAACACACAAAGTCACGAGACTACTCTGTGTGAGGCTTTCCTTTCCATACAGGCGTCTGGTTTACCTGAGCTCTTCCCGGTCCTCATCCAGCTCCTCCCTCTCTCGCTCCAGAGCATGCAGCCTGCTCTCCATCCGCTCAGCCTCCCTGAGCAGGTCTTCCCTCTCCCGCTCAGCCCGCTTCTGCAGCTCCAGCAGCCGGCCCAGCTCCGCCTGTGCGCCCTGCAGCTCCCTGCACACGGCACCATGCTGTCTGGTCAGCTGACCATGAACAGACAGACAGACAGATGCAGGCAAGATGCACGTTACACCCAAGCTGTCAGTCATGCTGCAGGAAACATTCAAAAAACGGCATCTGTGTTCTGATGGTGACCCACCTCCTGCAATCTTTCTGCATCCCTCTCCTTCTCCTCCATCAACAAACTGGTTTCCCTCTCTGCCTCCTCCTTCAGTCTTTCCATCTCCCTCTGCAGCTCCTTCTCCCTGCCTTCCATTTGCAGTAGGGATTCCAGCTCCGCACTCCTCTGGGCCCTGTGAGGACATCAGCATCCTCAGCGTCACCCATCACAACCAAACAGGTCACTATCACACTAAAAGTGGGCATATACTTCAAACAAAACCGAGTTTTAGCAATACGATGTTGTATGAGCCATAATCATTGCAGTGATCACCATGTCAGCACGACACCTGTGCAGCGTTCCTGAGGTGACCTTTTTTGTTTGTTCTGATTATGGCTTCCCAACTGTGGGGGAAAAACAAAATGAAACGCGATTCTTTTGCTAAGAATTGAGATTACGGTTCTCTAATGATTTTCTCCCTTAAATTTAGACGTTTCTTGAACTCATTAAACTGCAAAAGGAAATACAAAACATGACTCTGCCAAACATAAATGCCAAGGGGTTACTTTTTTGGTACTTTGGGTGGGATTTAAAAAGTTGTCTTTGTCGGACGGTTATGCAAATAGCCTGCCTTTGAAATGCAATACAACCGCTGTCTTGAAAAACGGTTGCAAACTCAGAAAACAATGATAAATGAGGTAAAAAATTATAATAATGGATGCATGAACAAATTAAGTGACCCAAGCTTTAACTGCAATCTGGTCGGAAGAACCAGAGATCAGGATAGCATAAAAAGAAAGAAAGTATTTTGTATAATATACTAGGGCAGCACGGTACTGGAAAATTTCTAAGTATTGCAGTGTGATTTTGTTGTAATAAACATTGTTTTATTATCCAGCTGATAAAGGTAATTTAGAAATGAGATCGCAAAGAAGTGTGAATCGAGATTGTAGGCTTTTTGTATGATTGAATGTGCAGCCCTAGTTCTGATTCCACCCACTGTCTATGACTGGCTGACATAAACGTGACGCCGCGGGACTGGCCAGTAGAACTCATTATGCAGGTACCGGCACGCTTTGCACCGTAACACGAGTATCTGTAAAGTAATATGTGCATTCGTGTGTTTCTATTAATAGTAAGTGTCAAAACCGTGTACTGTTTGTCACGGAATATGTGCATTTTGTTAGAGTGTAACCGAGAGTGGTGCCTAAATTGTTGACTTCCCTGTCTGCGCCACATCTGGTATCAAACCAATAGTGACTTAAAAAAAAGTGAGCTTCCATTTTAAAAGAGCTGTCACCTCCTTTATTAAAATGACTGACACAATACATTTATTTGTGCATCGTAGGTGGGTCTGCTGCACTGGAAACATTTTGCGCCGTCTACGGTTGTGTCATGATGCAGGACGGACAAGGTGGCAGCGTTGGTGTTTTGTATGACACATTGTTGTCACCGATGTGCTCGTTTTCGTTTTCGTCGATGTTGCTTGACGTATACAGCCACCTTAATCCCGAGATGATGTTTCTGAGCCCTGCGAGGACATTATCCTCCTTTGCCACACCACGCCGTTCACTACAACACTAATACTCATATGATGATTTTGGGCACAATCAAAATTTTGATCAAAAATAAAAAAATAAAAACACCTCAAACAAGTGTTTTAGTGTTATCAAACCTGCCCGGTGAGATCTAATTATGCAATATGTGTTAACTTTCAGCAATATACAAACACATACCTTAAACTGGCTGTTTCCTGGGATGCCATCTTTAGCTCTCTGCACAGGGTCGTGACCTCTGACCCCAAACTCTGAAGAGTCGAGTGGGCGTTTTCCAACTCTGTTTCCAGCTAAAGTGCAAGGGGCACGTCAGTCATGTATCCAAGCCATCACAGAGGACATCCCAGCCATCACAGAGGACATCCCAGCCATCACAGAGGACAGACCAGCCATCACAGAGGACAGACCAGCCATCACAGAGGACAGACCTGCAGCGTGCGGACATTCAGATCCCGCTTGTCACTTGCAAGTGCCTCGCTCAGGGCTGCCATATTCTGCAGGGAATCGCCGAGCTCTGCCACCTCCTGCTTCAGCTGCGTCTGACTGGAGGACAGGGCAAGGGCCGACTGGCGAGCCTGTCAGCGTGAAGGGAAAGCAGGAGTGGGAGTAGTCAGGAGCCGTGGAAAAGGCAAGCAAAATTAGTGAAGAACAGCAATTCGAAGGAAAAAAAAATCTAAATAAAATAGTCATATTGTGTTCTTGAAATTATAAACCTGCAAAATGTGTAAGATGAAGAAGCAGCTTGCAATTGGCATTGTCATCATGGCACATCAAAACCTGCACGCGCTTCACACAGATAATCATCCCCTCGCTGCGATTCTGACTCTATGAGGTGAGTCAGATACCATGGGTGACTAGGCTAGATTCTGCTTCTGTTACTCAGAGCATAACTTAAAAACTGAACTACTGAACAAAGGAACATCGGCAGGAAACCGGATTTGGCAAAAAGTGCGCGTACATACAGAAATGCCTATGAATACATGTAAGGGTTATCACAAGACCTATGCCTGACATGGTGAGAGACAGCACTTCATTGGCTTCTGAAAGTGTGGGAGACTTTTCATAAATGAGACCACTTTAAAAAGAGTAATTACTGAATGCCAACGAAGCAAAGAAAAAGGGTCAGCGGGGTGGGCAGTGTATGGCTGAAGGAGCTTACTTTAATCAAAGCCTCCTTGGTTTGGGTGGTCTCCTCTTCGGCCTGTGCCCGGGCCAGCTGCTCCCTCTCCAGCTCCCCGCGGAGGGAGTGCAGTTCCTGCCGGCTCTGCGTTTCTCTCTCGCTGAGTTGGGCACTTTCTCTCATATCTGCCTCCAAACTGACAGACAGACAAGCAGCACCCACAGGGGTACACTCACCAGCATGTACATACAGACAGACGGACACTCACCAGCATGTACATACAGAGACAGACAGACGGACAGCACCCACAGAGATACACTCACCAGCATGTACATACAGACAGACAGACGGACACTCACCAGCATGTACATACAGAGACAGACAGACGGACAGCACCCAGCATGTACATACAGAGACAGACAGACGGACACTCACCAGCATGTACATACAGAGACAGACAGACGGACACTCACCAGCATGTACATACAGAGACAGACAGACAGACAGACAGACAGACAGACAGACAGCACCCACAGAGGTACACTCACCAGCATGTACATACAGACAGACGGACAGACAGACAGACAGCACCCACAGGGGTACACTCACCAGCATGTACAGTACATACAGACAGACGGACACTCACCAGCATGTACATACAGACACAGACAGACAGACAGACAGACAGCACCCACAGGGGTACACTCACCAGCATGTACATACAGACAGACAGACAGACAGACGGACAGACAGACAGACAGACAGACAGACAGACATACAGCACCCACAGAGGTACACTCACCAGCATGTACACACACATACACAAAGCTCAGTTTCACTGATCTGTGACGACGATGATGAACTGTGTCATGAACTGAGACCCATTAAGAAGCAAAGAAAAACCACTAATAAAGGGCATCTGTAACGCTACACGTGAGTCTGGTAAAAGCAGAAATTGTAAATACCGCTCCTGGCTCTCCTTCTCCAGACGCCTCTTCTCCTCTTCATCCCTCTCTTTCTGCTGCCTCAGGCGCTCATTCTCCTTCCTGATCTCCTCACTGTGCTGACTCACCTCCTCCAGCTGACTCCGCAGGGAGCTCACCATCTCCCTCTCACTGCCAGCAGAACACCACCAATGTCTCTGTATTATCTGTGCATGCAGTATTCTAGCAGGATGACTGCAGCAGGGAAGCAGGGCTACCTGTGCAGTATTTCCTGGGTGTCTCTCAGTTCCTGTCTGCCCTGCTGCACATGTGACTGAAGCTCCTCCCCCTCTCTTTCCAGGGCTCTGATACGCTGTTCCAGAGCTTGCCGCTCTTCCCCCAGTCTTTGCAAATTGATCTCAGCCTCCTGAAAGGGTGGTGGCAACACAGCATCTTGTATTTACATACAGTTAAGATGCTTGGATTCTAATATATTGACATTGTGAAGGACAGACCAAGACTGTATATGATTTTATAACAAAGGTCATTATATAACACATATTTAAAAGACATTTTTAAGAAATCCAATCATTTCTCCATGGTAGTCAGTCACCTCTACTTCCTGTTGTCTCCACCGGAGGGCAGTCTCTGCTTGGGCGATGATACTGAGGACAGGGTGAAGCCCCTCACTATGCAGGTCAGCCGAAGAGAGAGGAGATGCACTCTGTTCATCCACACACTGGGAGTTCAGTGCTTTGGACTGGAGTAAAAACAAAATCACCAGCAAATGAGACCTCACTGACGGTGCAGTGGTATCTTGGTAATGTCATGGGAGAGACAGGCTCTACCGCAGAGGAAACCTGAGAGCCAGTGAAGAAAGCCACAGCTCAGCAGCCACAACATCGTTTTAAAAGGAGACGTTGTGAATAAACAAGGTAAAAAGTCGTAGAGATTTGCTCAGTGAGGTTCACACAGCCTTAGGGAGCAGGGCTGTGTCTTCACACCTCTGCAGATGGGGAGGTATGCATCCCGCTCTCTCTGTGGAGTTAGTATGTTCTCCACTTTCCTCCCACAGCTTAAAAACACATGACACAGACCGGCATCTTTAAACAGTACAATATGTGTCAGTGTGTGCGTTTGTGCATGCATGTGTGTGTGCATGCATGTGTGTGTGCATGTGTGCATGCAGTGTTGGGGAATTTACTCACAAAAGTAAAGTTCAGGTCCAGAAAGTATAAATCTAGACCAAGATTTTGGTTCAACAAACCAGGTGAGTACCTCTGTGACTTTTTATACTCAACTGGTTGGTTGAAACAAAATCTTGGTCTGGATTTGTACTTTCTGGACCTGTACTTTCCACCTACTGGTTTACTTTCGTAACTCCCCCAACACTGTGTGTGTGTGTGTGTGTGTGTGTGTGTGTGTGGCATGCCCTGTGAGTGTACCAGCACAGAAGATGGAGCACAGACAGATATATGCCTTTATCCAAGAAGTCTTGCTCCTTACCAGGGTCAGCACAGCCTGCTGAATGGATTCCAGGTTTCTCTCCACCTCCCTGTGAGCCTCCCGCTCCCTCTCTCTCTCCTGCTCCCTCTCTTCTTCCAGCTGCCTTTCCCTCTCTCGCTCCTGCTCCCTTTGCCCTTCCTGGGCTTGTAGGGAGATTGACAGCTCTGTGATCCTGAAGCAGGAGGATGAGAAATTAAACAGCAAGTGGTGGATCTGATGTAACGTAAATGCACTGCTTATTGCCCCCCATACATTTTCATTACCGTGTATCCAGCAGACAGTTGTGGTAAAATGTATGAAGTTCAGTGTACAGTCTGGAACCTGGTGCCAGCCTCGTGCTCACCGGTCCCGAAGCTCCCGGGTCTCAGCGTCATGGCGGGTCCTCAGCTCCAGCAGCTCGCGCTGCTTCTCCATCTGGCTGTGCTCCAGGTCCTGCAGGGACAGCGGCCCCACTGTGGATGAGGGCGACGGGGAGGTCGACCGTGCGGCACGGCCGTGCCCCTGGTCCGCGGCGGAGCTGCCACCAGGTCCCATGGCCCGAGGAGAGCCGAAGGAGATGCAGCTGGACAGCAGAGAGGAGGAGAGGCGAGAAAACGCCGCCCGGAGCTCCCAGAGGTCCCTGCAGGAAGACGGAGGATGAAGCTCGGCGTTCACACTGCTACGCCATCACTGCAGCTCCTATACCACTTCATCTTTATTACTGTCTTTAGCTAAAGAGCATTATTATATAGCTGGAAACGATGATGACGGAACAACGACAATGTATTCCCTGGACAACCCCATCACCCCCGCCCCATCTAATCCTTACTCCTCCGCCCACACCCCCCAGTAACTCTGACACCTTTTCATTTATTTCACTTACAGTTAGGTGCTTAACAGTATTTTTTTGTGCCAATGTCCATATCTTAAATTGTCATTTTATATCATTTACATTTATACTATTCACATTGTTACATTTAATTTTGCAAAATGAGAACAACTGCACAATATACACAGTATAAAGAGGCTACACCTCTCCAAAAATCCTTAAAGCTATATATATAAACTCCCCCACAACACATTTCCCCAAGTTCCTCACAATTATTTTGGCTGACCAGCTAGGGAGGCTGGTAACAAAACAAAATTATAAACTTTTAGAATATTCAGAAAATCATCTAGCAACCCAGAGTTTTAGAATCCGTGACCTGTACAATGTTCCTAGAATGTCTGAAATAGAATCCATGGCACACATTTAGATGGCAGAGAACTGTTTACAATATGGCTGTTGCACCCTTCCTTTTAACCCCCCCGCAGCTCCTAATGCTGCTGTTTCTGTCCTCTCTCTGCTGCCATTTCAGCTTTGCGATGATTTGTCTCAGGTTAATCAGGTACAGTTTTTCATCTATATAATGTTTTTGTGAAGTGGTAATAAGATCCATCAAAAGTGATTTTTCTTCAATTTTGGTATAATTTGTCTCAACATTTGATCCATTACTGGTTTTCAGTCATACAAAGTGTCTGCAAAGTTTGGAAAAGATCCATCAAATACTTCTTGAGTTACTGTGCTAACGAGAAAATGCCTCCAGTAGCAGAGGCAAAAACCACATGTATACCCCTTCTGACAGCTACCACAGTAGTTACCTACTGAAATGTATGCCTGCGATCTGACATTTCTTCACGTTAATCACTCGTGTGACTATGTGTAATTCCCCAGGGATCTGCTTTTATAACCCCCCACCTGTCGGTGGCACTCTTCACAGTGTGACACTGTCGTTTGAGCTTCACCACTCCACCCCATACAGTCAGCAGGCGGGTGTGCTCCTGTGAGATGTGGCCTGTTAGAATCTGCAAAAAAAAAACAAAACATGAACAACACATAGTATATAATGACATACAGACGTTCCTCTACTTACAAACTTCCAACTTACGAACTTTCAGATATGAATGAAGAGGACTGTAGTAAATTGTGTTTGTTTGGCTCCCATTTCCTGTTCGAAACATCATTTTCTCTTTCTCTGCGCGCCAATCCCGCCTAGTACGACTTCTGGCCGCTACTCCCGCTGCGCAGCAGCGTAGCATGCGTACTCCCAGCGTCCCAGTTCTTTGTACTTGTGTATACCTTTAAAATGATGGTGAATAACGACTTACGAACATTTCAAGTTACGAACGACCGTTTGGAACGTAACTCGTTCGTAAGTAGAGGAGCGCCTGTAGATATAAACACTGCATTAGGACCTTGAAGTTATACTTTATACAGTAAGTGGCCACTTCTTTGGGTATACCTGCTTATCAAGGCCTGCTCCAACAAACAGCAAATCATGAGGCTGCAACTAAATACATGCAGCACACAGACAATAGTAATGGTTGGTCCTAGACATGGTGGTTCCAGGATCTCAGAAACAGACATCCTCAATGGGATTTTCATGTAGTAGGTCTGTTTACACTAGCATCACCAACACGTGAGTAATGTGTTGCACTATGATGTCATGATGGCTACGACACCACTAGGCAAAAGGAATTTTTCACCTCCTTTATAATCTTGTAGGATTACCATCATATATCATCATTGACCAAAATGTTATGCGGCACTGTATATAATTAACGTGCTGATAAAGAAATGCTTAGTGCTATTTTCGCTTTTCTCCTGTTTTTCATAAAAGCAAAAATCTTTGAATTTCTTTCGGTTAGTGAAAACAGGTGCTAATGTAGGTGTTTTGTAAAAGACAAGAGACGTAAAGCAAATGTTTGGAAAGCGGAGGATAGCTGCATCTAATGAAGTGGCCACTCAGTATAACACATACTGCACTAACTTGTCTGAATTAAAGGGGCCATTTGCTGTCTGCTCCCAACACTATAAATATTAAAGTTGCAATACACTGGGCAGGCCCACTATAAAAACATCCTAGTATTAACAGTATTATTAGAGGCTTGCTTCTACCTCTCTTTCATTCTGCCACTCCTTCTCCTTAAGACCTGCCTCCTCCACTGCCCTGGACCAATCCGCTGTCAGCTTAGAAAGGTCTTCCCTCAGTGCTTCATTAGCTTCTTCTGATTTGCTGAGTTGACTCCGCAAAAAAGAATTTAATTCTGCCAGTCCTATACTTCTACAAAGACAAAAGAAAAGTAAGACAATTCGATTGTTGAATGTAATCAATTTACTCATTTTAATATTCACCCATCATATGAACCAAATTTGTGTCATCTGAATATGTCCATATGTGTGTCCTGCTATGCACTGGCATCCAGTTCAGGGCGTACCCCAGCCTTCTGCCCTATGTTATCTGAGATCCAGGCTACAGGCCCCCTGTGACCATGACCAAGATGAGCGGTTCGAAGTTGAATGAAGAAATCCTTCCTGAACCACTGCTTATTTTCCAATTTCACTCCCAAGTTTTAACGTAAAGTACCTAAGTGTTCACTCACCTGTTCTGTTCCTCTTCCAACCTGATGAGGGCACTCTCCATGGAGTTACTGTGTTCATCTCTAATCCTCTTCCAGACAGACCATCCCAAAAAGAAGGTGCATTAGCAAATTGTAAACATCAAAGAAATAAAGGACCATGTCATCGGTTTCCTTACCTCCCTTTTGCGCAATTCTCTCTCGCCAGTCAGTAACTGCTGTTCCAGCTGCTGGCAGCGCCCTCTGTATTCCAACACCTATGTCCATTTCACATTAACCAGCTGGCACACATGCTGAATAAACACACTTAAATAATAGTGGCACACATGTAATCCTGACCTTGCTCTGCAGCTTGTGCACCAGCAGCGTCTGCCGGGACTCCCGCTCCCGACTCTCCACCAGCTTCTTCCTCCACTCGCGCCGCTCGGTGTCCAAGCGTATCGACATGGAGGAGGACGGCTCTACAGACTGAGCCAGCTGAGGAGGAGAGAGAACCGAGGGCCCCAAGTTTACTTAAGAGAACAGTAACAGACCAGCCAGCGGGGAAAGTGAAGCAGGAAGGGGTGGCTGGCCCCCTCACCCTGTCCGTCAGCGCCTGGCCCCGGAATCGCAGCTCCTCGTTCACCGCTCGACTTCCCGCCAGCTCATCCTGCAGCCGTGATATTTCTGCCGCAAGCTCAGCCCGTTCATCCTTCCAGCTAAGGAGTAGCTCAGACTCCATCGCTTAATCCTCAAGGTGAGGACTGAACAACTCGGGGGAGACACTGTTTCATAGGATGTCCGTCTTCATCAGGTACTCTGTACAACATTACAATGTGCGGAACATAAATATAATATACTTCATTACAACATTTGAAATATGCCTCACACTCTGCCACATTTATTCTCCCAAAACAGCAGAAAAACATCAATCAAACAGAAAGTTAAACACTGAATTTAACTCCCAGTGTACAAAACAAATTCAGGGAAATAACTACAAATGCATTTACAATTTCTAAATACAGTTTTCCATTTTCATGTTTTAACTATATCAAATCATATAATGTATACATTTAAAAATGTTATAATACTTGCTATTAAATACACGTTTATAAATCTTCCGCTCATATATTGGGAATGTCTTACTTGGTAGGTAACCGACTCCGTTAATATCATGCCTGTGATGGGTAACTACCCACAAACCTATTTAACCAGAATACTGGCATTCAGACAGATCATCGCTATTCCTCTTTGTCTGACCGTTAACTAATCCCGGTCGCATTATTCCGTTACTTCAGGACGTAGAACAACTGATGAGGCACCAGTTATGTGGACGTTAAGAATGTGGTTAAAAAAATAACAATTGTAAAATCGCCTGACAACTTAAATGGAGCTAGGAATTTTAAACTAAAACCCGAACTACACAACTTTTTAAAACATTTTGACTGCTACTTAGCAACCACATATCACAACCTTACACTCAACATATTTCCCACCCGTAAGAGCAAGTTTTAAACGGATTAAACGTACGTGTGAAAATAGGCTGTTTAATAGGCATTCTCAAGGAGAAATAAATTTATTCAGTGTCGTGTGTAATCTACCTACACATAACTTTACCGCACAAACCGGATTCAAAATGTAAACTGAAACTTTGACCTTAACCGAGGAAATTACGGAGACATATTAAAGCGCTACAACTACTGTAACATTATATACAGCGTCACCCGGTGGTCCGGAGTATTCACTATTACGTGCGCGGTGGAGTAGATATTTTTAAGTAGGCCTAGGCGTTTTCATTAATTTCGTCAATTAATACAAATTGTTAATGCTTAAGTGTCTACTCGAAGCTCTTTCCCATTTAGAAGGAAGAACATGTTCACACATAATGGATAAATAACAAAATAAGAATCAAGAATCAAGTGAATCATTACATGCCCAAAATCAAAGTTTGTATATTGTGAGGGAAAAATCATTTAATTAAATTAATGCCTGGTTTCATTAGCCGTACAACTTTATACTAAATATAATATTAGTAAGAAAATGAAACTGTAATAGCTAGATTAAATTAGTAATTTATTTCTGCAGTATGCCCCGTAAGACCTAGGTTCAATATAACAATAAGTATCTGTAGGATTCAAAGCCTGATATTCCTTCAGAATCACATAGCTGACATCCTGTGGCATACCAAACATCTGGGGGTTTAACACAGTGCTGGGGGGTATTCCATGAAGCAGGATTAAGGGAAAGTCTGGCTTATTTCGATAAGTCTGTCTTATTTAAGTGAGAGTTCCGTTCCATTAACGTGTCTTAAATGAATCCCCGCTGAATTACCAGGCCAGACCAGGCTAACTGTCTCGCTTAGTTCCCACTCGTGTGGGAACAGATTCCCAAAAGATCGTTGCGTCCGACGAAATTCCGCGATCTTACTATTCATGTCATGTAATCTGTTGAATTATATGTCCTCATCTGACATTATATTTTACATTATCTGATTGAATTTTTTTGTTAATCTGTAAGGTGTACCAAAATGACATGATTTTGTTTGAGTTAGCGGGAGAATGAGTCTTGTATACGTATATAAAAAATGGAACCCTGCATGTAGTCAGTGCTGTGAGCAGGGGCGTTGCTAGAGATTTTGGGCCCCATGAAAGCATATCATATTAGGCCCCCCAGTCCAAACCAATCCAGTTATTTTCATAATTTTTTAGGGCCCCTGTCAGTCAGGGGCCCTTGGAATCGTCCTAGCTTTCCTACCCCTTACGGCGCCCCTGGCTGTGAGTAAAAGCAAGACGAGAAAGCAGAGAATAAAAACCATCTTTTCTGAAGTAAAGCTCTGCGTGATACTTCCATAATATGGAGAACAGAGCTGAGATTGCTACATAATCAATATAATAAAGCCTATAAAATCACGTCTTAGCATTCCAATTAATTCCAAAATAATTACGGTAAAATCCCGTTATAGTGGACTCGCTTAATTATAACGGAATATCGTCTATAACGGACTAGGTCCGCTGGTCCCGGTCGTGCGCCTTTAAGAACATGCAGAAAAAGCATCGGATATAGCGGACTCGCATATAACGGAATTTTGCTTATAATGGACAAACAATTTGGTCCCCAGGGCCGCTTTTAGCTGTACTTCTGTTCGGCTATAACGGACATGCAGTTCCGTCTACAGGGTGTGTGGCGTGCCGGTGATATCCAGCGCAAATACGTACGTAGTCGGGATTATTAATAGTAACGCATCTGGTCAGGTAAAGTTGGATTACTACATGTACAATATAATAATCTATACCACAAGTGTGTCTGCTGAGGTGTGGCATGAGTAAATGGTGTCCTGTAGTTGTGTTCTGGACATACAGCAACTCTGGATATAACGGACTGTTTTGCCAGGTCCCTTGGAGTCCGTTATAACGGTATTTTACTGTAAAATAAAAGCGTACGCATATTGCAAAGGTGAAACATGAAATGCAATGACTGTAATTGAAAAAAAATCCGTTAAAATAATATGAACAGGAAGATATCTTTATATTTTTAGTCACTGTCTACTTTGAAAGTTTACTACTAAAATAGCAAAGACAACATACGGTTATTTGTGCAGAACATTTCACACGGATGTGATTTAAAGTATTTTACGGAGATCACATAATATTATACAGTAATAATGACAGGTAAAATCAACCCAGAAGGTTCGCCGTTGGCTATGGGGATTAAACCAACAACTCTCGCATTATAAGGCGACAACATAAACCACTGTACCACCATGCCACTGAACTAATCGTTTGTAACATTCCGTAATTTATGCATTTAGTCTGTCTGTAATTCATTGCCAAGCCAACTCCCTGGCTGTGTTTATGGTCACAGTATTGCCTTTTTAACGATTACATCTTTGTATTTTTCATACAGCTCCATCAGCAGCGTTTATTCTGCAGCGGAAAGAAACACCGCTCTCGTTTTACAGGCTTTCCGACTCATTTGGCCGATCTATCGTTCATCCATTTATTTGTTCTTAAATATCGCAGGTGTACGCACTAAGTGATACTGTGCAAGTCTGTCTTGAATAAACCTTGATTAATTAAAACTGAACTGCGTTCGTGGAACGACGTGAGGATAAGTTTAAAGATGGAGGTAGGTTGAGTCTGACTTTTTCGGGAAAGTCTGCCTTTTTTAAGCTACTTTCATGGAATTACCCCCCTGGATTTCTTGCTTAGCCAGATAACTTGTTGAATTTAAGGTACCCTGGTTTAAATGGACTTTATCGTCATCCGTTTACATTTGGTCCAGGCTACCTTAAATCTGACAAGTTATCTGGAGAAGCAAGAAATTCTGCTTCATGATACAGGCCTGTTGTGTGGCAGAGTTGATTATCCTGACTGGTAGACCAAAATCAGGAAGACCTACTGTAAGTGCATAAGAGTCTTCAAGCAGGAGCTAACTAATACAGGGTTATTTTGGACTACAAAAATATTACATAAGCCACGTCCTGAAGTGGCTCATCAACAAAGGTCAACTGAATACAAAGCAGAAAACTAACCTGGGGAAGTTAAGTAGTCATCAGTAAAGAAATGTGTCACAGGTGAATGCTGTTAGAAGCAAGGCACAGAGGAATGTAACTGAGGAGGAAAAGTGCAGGAATCTGTAGGGCTCAGTTTCCCTTCATTTAACATAACTCATGTTGATTCTGTGTTAGAGCGACTTCAATCACTCATATTTGTCCCGTAAAGACAGAAATACTGTACCAGTCAAAAGGTCAGACATGTCTACCCACAGAAAGGTTTATTTGAACTATTCTCTACAATTTAGAATGACGATTTTTTTTTTGCTTAGAATTGTGATTACAATTCTCTGTAAGAATTTTTTTTTCTCAAATTCAAATGTTTACTGCAAAAGGAAATACGACAAAACATGATTATGCCAAACATATGATTGATCTTGGATAGGCATATCAGCTTTTGATAACAGAAAGGAAATGCTTAAATAGCCATTCAGTTAGGATAACCAAGACAGCCATACCAAAGAATTTTTTCTTTAGTTGAAATTCCCTGGACTTCCAATCAATGCACCAGGTTCACTCTAGCCTATCTCCTTCTCTGGAATATTCACTTCATCTCGATGACCAACAGAAAGCGCTAAGCCAATACTGAGGCAGAGGAACAGTAATCAGTTCGGCGCTTACCTTTTGAATATGTAGGACCCATTCCCCAGCATGTATCTTAGGATCAGTGCTGCACACCCCCACTAAGGGTATCACACCCCCTTAAGCACTAGCACATAATAGAAAGAGTCAGACAATTGAGTGTGTAGCTTATCTCATTTAATTGGGATTTTCTCACAAAGGCAGCAAGAAGTGAATCTGAAGCTGATGCAGGAAAATGATATTACAAACTGGTTTCATAAAGAATATTAATAAAATAGTATTTATTGCAAGGATGTATCAGCATTCCTTAACTTACAAACAAATGATAGTAAAAAGGCCCAAGATATTTAGGAAAACATAAAACCCACATAAATTACGATGAACGATCACATAACTGAGAAGAACCAGTAAGTGTGTTCTCTTCCCAGAATGCCCCTCATTGCCCCTATATTCTCATTCCCAATTTTGTTTATTTTACACATGATTTCTTTAGTCAGTGTCTTGTTGAATGCAGTTTAGTTGAGCATAACAGTAGCTTTTCCCACTGACAGCTATGTGTACTGTACATATGCTATCTATTCTGCTATATGGAGCACATTCTGTGCTGATGCATGACTTAGTTTCATTACTAAAATAACTAACTGTGACAGGTTTACAAACTGAACCTTTATTATCTTGCCAACTAATATTCTCACTAGATGCCTCACATTTGATAGCTGCCAGTATTGACATTTTAAAGCAGTGCAGATGGTTATTCCAATGTTTTTTAAAATAAAAATATTAAATTATTATTATTATAGACAGTATATTTTCTATTAGTACCAATAAGTTATCAAAATGTAAAGCTTGGCTAATGCTGAGATGCTCATCTTTTTTGTCAGTAATGTTTAAAAACATTTTTTATCACCGATACAAAGGAAGAGACTCAGAATGGCCACAGCATTCATTTTCAGTTTCAGAAAAGGATACATTTTCAGCTTATTTTATTATTATATTAATAGCTATTTCCATCCCATGATTAGCCAGTAAGGCGTTGCTGACATTTGTTTCAGTCATGGGTGCAAACGGACATTATCTGGTGTCTGGTGGCTTTGGTGCTGCCGTGGCCGTTTCCACGCCATTCCCTCCCGCGCTTGCTCTCCTTCTGTGCTCAGTTTCAGGGATTCCACGTCACTGTATAGCACAGCGACTGCAGGAGGTGGTCAAGCAGCCTCCTTTTCAGTATGTTTTCAGCTTAAAGACCTTGGAAAGGGGTTCCCGGGCGCTGGAGTAGATGAGGTAGATGCCCTCGGCGGAGGTGAAGTACTCCCAGTCTCTGCACCCGATGGTTGGGAGGTGGTGGATGGGGACAAAGCCCTCATAGCCCTGCCATCTGGGGAGGAGTAAAGGTTGAAGTCCTGGTATAGGAGCACTAAGGCATTCTGATGGATCAGCCAGTGATTACTCACCCCTTACCTTATATTACCTATTACTGACCTACAGGACAATGCCTGCACTCT